AGAGAATCAAAGAACTTACATGTTGATAAGCGTAACCTATGGACACAGACATTGGTATGAGGAAGGCCTGAGGGTGGGGGGGATGAGGTTGGAGGGGATCAATGGGGGAGAAAAGGGGACATCTGCAATACTTCCAACAATAAAGATGAATGTCAAAAATCTGATTTGGTTTAAGAAGTTGAAGTTTTAAATTTAAGAAGAGAGTAATCACAAGAAGTGGGTAGAAGGAAAAACAATGCTTTCTAAAATTTTAACAGATTTTCTTTATCCACATTCCTGGTTGAGAAAAGAGTATTTTATTCAATGTCAAAATAGTTTAAACTGCCAAAAGAGAAGAATTGAAGGACTATCTCCTCAGCTTAGGCTGGGTTCAGATACAAAGCTCAGAAAACATTTTTAAAAATTTTCCGCAAAATCTCAATTTTTGCTTATTTAAAGATGCTTTAAGGTAAGGATGAACCTGCCATAGAAAGCATATCTGTAAATTTCTAGATCTTTTATGTACTTAAAAAATTCAGCACATTGAAACCCAAAGAGCCAGAATGATATACTCACACACACAGTCTTTTAAGACATTAAGAGACGCTTACAGATCAACCATCCGTCCAGGGCACCAAGCTTTGATGGTCACTGCATATAGTTTCTGGAACTTGGATTTTGCATGGATAACATTTATTATACACCGTATTATGCTGCGGACAGAACTAGTTGCTTGAATCCTGCCCATTATGTTTTGCAACTTGACATTTTAAATTCCCACTTCTGCATCCCAACACCCACAGCATCTCTCGAAAATGAGTACCACGATCCATCCCTTTGGTTTCTCAAGATATTTACTTAGAGCGTTGGTGCCCTGATACTGCCTATGTGACTGTGCACCCGACAGAGTATTGGGGTCATTAGCAAGCAGCGAAGGGACACAGTGATTGCCCGGTGGAGCAAACCGCCTCCTCGACCCCCGCCAGCAGAGCTCGGGACCAGGCTGCGCTGCGGGGTCACAGGCGGCTCCTGGCACCAGTGCCGCGTCCTGCCCGCACAGCTCCGGTGGCAGGATGGGAGGGAGGGATAGAGTGGGCAGGGTTCTCGGGTAAAGCCAGACTGATATTCGCGCACAGCAGCCACGCGCGCGGGCCGGGAGCGTGGGGACCCGTTCCCCGGAGCGGCTGTCGCTTTCTCGGAACTCCGAGAACCAACGCTAAGGGGCACTAGAGGCTTGGACTGCAGCGGCCGCCACCCGGCAGCCCGCCGCCCGCCGCTGCGGAAGTACCCGGGACAGCAAAGCCTAACTCGCTGGGGGCTGCGGTCAAGGGAGCCTGCGGCGCTGCGGGTTCGAGGAGGAACCCTCTGAGGCCACCGCGGTGAACTCCAGGCGGGGGGTGACCCCCTGGTATCCGCGGTGTCACTGTTTTCCTGACTGTATGAGGCCATTTCTTACCTCGTACTTTCGAATAGGAAGCACGTCGCTGTGATCTATACAGCGGCGCGCGCAGTTGTAGACACAGCATCCTTTCCACACACAGCACGAAACTCGCTTGACAAAATAATGGAAAGCGCTGGTAGTTGTCGATCTCTAGTTTTAAGGGATCCTGAGGTCCGTGCAGAGAGACCAGATGCCACCTCCTCTCTCCTCTAGACAATTCACCTTTACTTCCCTACCCCCCAGCCCCCAACCTTTCATTTGAAGCCGATCATGACTTAGTTAAGAAGGCGCTAGCTACCCGGACCCTCTCCCCGTTAGAAACCTGGAACCGACCGCTTGCAACTCGGACTTTTTCCAGAGGTAGAGAGGGAGTGGGAGGTGAAGAAATTAGCTAGTCCTCGGTCGTGCATCCGCATTCTGACTTTTGTCCGTGCCAACGGAAAGAAAAAGCCAACAGGCGAGGACGGGGGACGCAAAGGAAGGAGCGAGCGCCGGGCAGTCCAGGCGCCCAGTGGGGCCGCGGGCCGCCGCCCCACCCCCTCCCGGCCCGCGCGTCCTCTCCCTCCTCCTCCGCCGGCCCAGCCGGTGCCAATGCGCCAGGATAGAGCTCCGTGCCCGAGGAGATGACGCAAAAGCCAGCGCTCCCCCCAAAAAAGTGTTTCTCCAGGACGAAGATGGCGGCAACTTAGCTGGGGACTGAAGATGACTGTGGCTCTCGGGAGGCCCAGCCCAGGCAATTCGGCCCCGAGGTCCCGGGGAGGCGGTGTCAGCAGCCGGAGCCCGGCGGCGGAGGCGCCCTNAGCCCTGCCGGCGGCCGCCCAGGCTCCGGACTCCGGGAGAGACAGCGAGAAGTAGCAGCCGGAGGAGGAGGAGAGACAGGAGAAGGGGAGGCCGGAGGAGGAAGAGGAGGAGAAGCGGAGAAGCGGCGAAGGCGGAGGAGAGGACCCGGGGCGCACTGGTCGCTGCCAGCGGGCGGCGGAGACGGAGGCGCGGCATGCCCCTGGCCGGGAAGAGCGGG